TCATGAAGTCATGTTGAGTCCTGCATGAAGTTTTTCATACTTAATTTTGGGCAAACTGAATTGACAAAAGATTTTTCCGTCCTTTAATGATCATGACAAGGAACACAAGGCGGGTGTGTCCGGTCGGCAGGGGATGCCCCATGACACATGATCCCACCTCTGATGTTTTACAGGTCCGCGTTTGCTCTGCTCCTGTTCTGCATTGTTTAATGGACTGTAACGTGTATGGGTCCGTGAATTTGAGTATAGATCCTTAATCAAGTCAATGAATTAAACAAATGATTATGTAGACTAGAGATAGATCACTGATTAAGCAAATGATTCGAAATGATAGATGACAAAGCATATGAAAAAAAGAACGAGTCAATATATACATATATCATTAGGATTTCCTATCCTTAACATAACAAAAACAACTAATGCCTAGGTCACATTTCCCGGCCGGTAGCCGTAGACCGGTGGTAATCGTTGGTAATCTGTGGTGTTAACGATGCCCTAACATCGGTCCACATCGGCCTAGTAGTCCTTACAGAATCAGTCACATTATCCAGCGATGGGTATTCGATGGGCAACCAATGACTTTTATGATAAAAATGGCGTGGTTGCCGGCCGGACTTTTAAAGGCCCAGCGAAGCATTGCTAATCATAAAACGATGTTACAGGATAATTGGTCGATGTATATTACATCGCTCATACGTTGGTGAACAGTTGACTACGGGCCAATGTTTGGTCGAACATCGACCGATGATCGGCCGTTATCTGTTGGACACCACTCAACCCCCCGATGACCTCAGATTCAACGGATATTGGACAAGGCTCGGCCATACATCGGGCGATCCGTAAAAGATGTGTTCATGATGGGTTGCCGATGAGGAGCGGTGTGAGGCATCGTTGGAGACATCGCTGAATTTTAACTACGAATTATTTCCTACCGATGACCCCACCGATTCGCAACATGGCCTCAGTCACCTTCCAATTACTAGTGATGCCCGGCCGGCAACCACACCATTTTCATCAAAAAACGCATCGGTTTCTCATCGTATACCCCATCGCTGGATAATGTGACTGATACTTAAGGCGTATAGGTCTTGTCCCTGATGTATGCAAACCCGGGATGTGTCCTGTACTCGGACACGTCTATGACAGGTACGTTTTAAGTTTCTGTCCTATACCCAGACAGATTTAAGTATTTATTATGAAGTAAATTATCACTATATTCCTTCAAAATATATTTTAAGCCCAGTATACTAGCCACCGTATACTGTATCCTCTTAAATCCCGTACCTTGCTATTTCGTTTTAGACGTCCTTCTGTTGTGAGCTCCGACTAACAACTGCCAGCTTTCAGCAAAACGCTCTTATATACAGTGATGATCACCCGGACTACCCTTGGCCGCTATCGTAGAGCAATACGATAAAGTCCGGGTGACATAATTCAGCAAGCATCCCGAGCCCAATCTGTCACAGGACTTTTTAGCTTGAATACAGTTCGTTATCTGAATATATTTTATAGACTGTTAATTAGCGTGATCAAATTTCTAACAGATTAATTAAAAATTCCTTTGTTAAAGGAATTTAAAAATAGTTCTAACATCTTTTCCAAATTAAGAACACTTAGAACACAAATGAAATAACATTTTTTTTAATTTATAATACAACGATATACGTGTGTAAACAATACAAATCTTGTTTCTTTAAAGTAAATTAACGTTCAAATATATTACCGAGAAGTTTTAATGATTAATGTCATTTATGTGAATTCTCAATTGTCAATAATTATGAACTATACAATTCTTAAAATGCTACTTTGGAAATTAAAGGTACTTGGAGACAGATTTGAAGTTATTACATGTATTTTCTCTATAATATTACGACTTATATATTTTAATAGTATTTCACACAAAAATTAATTAAAAATCTTATTTCGTTTAAAAGATATTGAAATTTCAATTTTTTCGGCGGGTTTGATTGACATATCCTTGCACTCTCACAAATTTAATTTTATTCTTAATCCTTAGGAAAAGTGGCAATATCGTTTTGTATAAATGAAAAATATTAGTACTATAATCCAGGGGCCCGTTTCACAAAACTATCTTATGACTAAGATCTGTCTTAAGACCGAAAATTATCGTAAGATTGCACCATAGCCGTTTCACAAAACTATCATATCTTATGATAATCGTAAGATCAATCATAATTTTAAGATAACTAGATACATGTCTTAAGTTTAAAGTGAAACTTGCAACAGTATATATTTTGCCTAAAAACCAAAGAATTTTTAAAGAAACGGTAGAGATAGAACAATCCTTTAGACTATATCAGGCCAGTCAGAACAATGTCAACCCCCCCCCCCAAAAAAAAGCCATAAAATATACGATAGGAAAAACTAAAATGTAAATACTTTATGTTTTCCCACTTTATTCATTTCAAGACATTTCTCTCCCAACTGAAATTGCACCCCCCCCCCCAAAAAAAAATTACTTTTGTTTATTTTGTTACATTGCGGCAGACAATATATAAATGGTTTTTATATGTCTCTAATTGTGATAATTTAATTTCAAAGTAAACATTTTATTCGGTCGTACAAAATTAGATAAAAATCAAATACATGTCGTTCAATTTCTGAGGCATCCTCTTAAACCACAGGAATATGTATGACAATTCAATATGCTGTAATATTTGATGCTGTATGTACATGCTCTCTTTATGTTTTTTATGATAGTATTGAAACAGCAAAATTTTGATTGGAATTTTTTCTTTCGTTTCTCTTCTTAGTCTGTTAGCAGTGATATATTGTTGCAGTAAGTTGTAGCGTTTCAAAGACACCTGTATTGAATAGATTTTATGAACTAACTTTGAACACGATTTGCTGTTTCAAGAGGAGTCATTGTTAAAATCGTTCATAATTTGCAAAGCTTCAGATATAGTAGTAGTTTTAATTAAAAGTAATCACATGCATTTTGTCAGAAACTACTATTTCCCGAGCAAGAAACATTTAAGGAGGAACAGGACTTTTAGCTTAAAAAAATCCTGTCAATGAATTTTTTTCGTATTTTTTATATTACTAATTTAATATATACTTAACATTTTAAAACGGTCCTGTCATGGGATTTCTTGACTTATTTAAAAGATATCGCCCGACAAATACCGCCTTGTGTAGAGTTTGTATGGAGTTTAGATACTTCAAGTTTACGGGCCCATAACGGAGTCCATCATGCGAATTTTTACGCACAAACGATAAATATTACAGATAACACTATATACTCAAATATTTCAGAATATTCATAGTATTTAAATTATCTAAAAGCAATTGTTTTAATTTTATATAGTATTTGGGTGGGATAATTTCTGCATTTTTCAAGGCAGCTTCAACGACAAAAACCTCATTGGGAAAAAATTCTGTCAATAAATATTTCTAAATTTACGACTGAATGTCAGTCCTTCATCGTAATTATTTACTGCATAAATATCACAGGGTGAAGCTTACCTCAATTTCGCACAGGACATCGTTGAATTAGACGTAAGCATGATAAAAACGCTTTACGTTTGTATTTTCCGAGTGCGGGAAATCAATTGTGACGTCACAGGAAAACATAAACATTCAAAATTATTAAATAGAGAGAATCTCTGCTACTAAACACGAAAAATATTAATTTAAAAAAATCTGCTTCAGAAATTTATCACGATACATTGACTGTGACCTGTTTATTATGAAATTAAACTGATCATGACGGGTGTGTGTACTTGATCTCGCTGCACTGAAAATTCAAACACTACGTCTATGACGTCACTGACGTCAAACTGCAGGGTAAAGAGAAACAAATGTGTGGATTGGGCAACTTCACAATATCTAAATGATGGCAAGATCTTTAAAAATTTTATGAATAAAATTAAACATGTTAAATGTTTAAACAACAATTTTAGAATTTAGAATAAACAAGAACTGTTGACTTTAACAACGTTTAACATGTATATCATCACCGATTATGACGTAATGTCTTTTTAGTCATGTGACATGTGCCCTGTCTCCCCTTAAGCAAATTTTATTTATTAATTTTTTGTAATGAAATTAATTCAATATTTAATTTAATGACCTCCTCCCAACACACACACACACACACCCTCTCACACCCTCCCTCACACACACACACAAAGTACATTAAAGTTGATGCAATAAAATGTTGTTTTTTCTGAGGGTATAAATGCAAAACAAACTATATGAGACACACATTATTTCAACATTTCGAAGAAAATTACAGAAAAAAACTTCGCGAAAACATATTTGTTTAAAAAAAAATCCCTGTGATACTGAATAATGGAATTTGTCTTAAGACTTGTCTTAAGATATCTTATACTTAAGATAGTTTTGTGAAACAGCAGTGACAAATCTTACGATTGTCATAAGTCAGATCTTATATGATCGTAACATCTATCTTAGGACAAATCTTACGATAGTTTTGTGAAACGGGCTCCAGAAAATTCAGAGTAGACACGTTCGAAAGCAAAACAAACACACAGTATATTGTCAGTCCGTGCAGTTGTGGTAAGCAGACTGTGACGATTGAACGCACCCGGTGAATTCTAAATATAAACAATAACAGATCTCGAGCCCTGTTTACAAAAACTGTGTACATAACACGAGTGTGCTCGATTTGCTAAACTCTGTACGCATCTCTTAGTTCGGAATGACAATACTTGTGAAGGTGTTTTGCTTTCTAACATTTCTACTCTGAATAAAATTATTTTTCTTGATAAAAGTTTTAATATTTCTCATTAAAACACATCAAAATTGCCACTTTTCCTAAGGATTAAGAATAAAGTTAAAATTTGTGAAAGTGCAAGGATGTGTCAATCAAACCCGCCAAAAAATTGAAAGTTTTAATAACTTTTAAATGAAATAAGATTTTTAATTAATTTTTGTGTGAAATGCTATTAAAATATATAATTCGTGATATTATACAGAAAAAATATTAACTTCAAATCTGTGTCCAAGTACTTTAAATCAGATTTGACTGAAGGGGCACATCATCATGAAAAAAATAAGCATCAGTTTACAAGGATGTTAATAAATAAGTTTATGTATGATAAAATGTGTCAAAATGAATAAACCTTTCCTAATGAACAAGGCAAGAGAAACCGCGTCATATAATATCAACTTCGACAATAGATAAAACATCAACAGGTTTAAATTATTCACAAGTTAAAAGTTTCATTGCTGGTACTCTAATTATTAAAATATATGATACACGAATACTACGCAAACAATTATTTTGTTGAGTGCATTTGAAAATTTTAATTTCATAACTTAAAGATGGAATTCTAGATAAAATAGCATATATCAATACCTTCTATCTTAATTCTTAAATGAAAATTATATACTACTTTGGAAATATAAATGATTGTAAACTACCTTCATTTGGTTTCTCAAGACCTTTTTCTAAATAATAATAATCTATTTTCACACCTAAATTAGCACTTCAATATCAAATCTGTCGTTTATAGTCGCACTAATTTTCTACAATCTCGGGGCACGAAATCAATTTTTTGTCCTGTAAGGATTGTGGGATACTGAGCGCAGGCGCAGACATGCGTCGTCCGCGCAGGCGTATTGCTCTGTCAATAACTGGCGGGACATCGTAAGTGATGGAGGCTCGTGAACCACGGCGACGATGCACATAAATAACAGTCGTTTCTGATTGGGATTCATCTGAATCCACGCTGTTCAAAGACAAGGTGCTGCTGCTTGTATTGGTACCAGTCCCACTGCCATTGTTGTTATTGATTCCGTTCGAAATACCAACTGACACCTCATTCTTATGATTCTCTGCAAACGCGCGAAAAGCTTCTTCCAAGATTTCTTCTGAAACCCCTCGGTTTGCCCAAATGCAGGTGACACCTAAAATGTCATATAAAATGATATCGGGAGAAAAATACACTTAAATGAATATGCTTTTTTTCAAATAATAATACTATATAATGTAGAGCTGTGAATAAATATTAAGCACAACGTTATATACGTTATAAGAAATTGATAAAATTACATGTATGTAAAGGTTTTTCTGTAATATAATATTAAATAGATATCAATAGAGTCCCCTCCTAACTGCAATATCCGTAGTCCAGGGGCAATGATATTCAAAACTGAGAGATCCACTGTAAAAATGCTCTTAATTTGCATTACACAGACGGGAAATTTTTTTTTATTGTGTGCACTATAAATTCATCAATGGCCCGCCCAGAAACCCTGATGAGTTGGCCATGAATTTTACCATTAGAATGTGGATGCAAAGGAACCCTTACTCATCATAAATAGCATTATATTAACACACGGATAAGACAAGGAGTTTTTAGAGGATGTATGTATTTTTGTTACAAATTTGATAAGTAGAGCCCCATTCTAACTCGCCCCAGAACCCCTAACCCTGATGCCATGATGAAATTTCACAATTTTTTTAGAGGGCGAAATGCCCTCTAAATTATCAACGCAAACACCTTGATGTATCGGGGGAAAGATGATTTTAAACATAGGAATATTTTTTACGGTTATAGCTCCCAATCCTCAGAGACCATGGAACTCACAGCATTGATACCCCTTTAGTCATTATACATCATGGTTGAAATTCGTCATGTGGTTAAGAGAAGAAAGCTGACGATGTTCAAAAGTTACATGTAACGAACGACAAAGAACAAAAGCAAATTGCAATACATGTAGGTGTTTCTCGAGATTCGGTTGACCTAAAATGCTGCATTTAGAAAATACTAATTTTATTATTTTGTTACCAAGAGTTACATGTATCATTAACCGAATATTAATCGTTTGTGTTTAATAGATTGCATCATTTGGTGTTGCAAAACAAATTGTGAGAAACAAATAGCGTTTATCTAGAAATTTATAAATCAGGGAATGGGGATAAATTTGTGAGATATAGACTAAATAAATACATGCATTATTGTTACCTAAGCAGGTATGTGCCACTTCTGAGAGATGATCTCGCTCGTCATCGAAAAACATCATGTCAGGAAAAGCGATCCCGCTGTCTTTTTTAATACTGAAACAGACAAAGAAATTTGAATTTCCACTCGTGACATTTCTGTCGGCTTTAAATTGCATCCCCCTCCTATCCTTGATTTTCATCAACAATCAAATCATTAGATTTAAATTAAAAAAATAATTTGGAATTTGAGCCATTGCTTCCTTTTTTTCTGAAATATATATCATTTTTAATCAAGAATTCAAGATATAAGAAAATTATATCTCTACACAAAACTGAAGATACGAAATTAAAAGAATGAAGTATGATTCCTCTTGATTCTGATGGCGTTTAACTTTTCAATCTTCTATTTCCCTTATTCATGTAGCAATGTTCCCTTGTCATCATATTTTATGTCGAACATCTTCTAAATACTGTAGATTCCTTATTTTTCGCGAGTACTTATTATCGCGAATGAGCTCCACAACGTTAAATCGCTAGAATAATAAATCGCGAATGGACGGTTGGTCAAGAGATTTTACTTAGATTTCAGCACCATAAAAATAAAGGCGAGTATTTTTATTTCGCGTGTGGTGCTTCTCGCGAAATTACGCGATAATTAATTCCACGCGTATATTAAGGAATCTACAGTAGATAGGAGTTATTTACACACAAGTTGATGAAACGTAAATATGAACAGTTTTCTTTAAGGTCATCATTTCGCGAATTCTACAGTCGATACATTGACTTTGTCAGAAAATATACAATATATCATTAAGCAAATGCTGATTTATAAATGTTTTGATTCCAATGGTTAGGCACTATTTACACGCTTAATTGCCTACAATAAAGTTATTATTTTTCAAACAATATATAGTGAATACCCTGTAACAGAAAAAATTATCTTAGTTTGTATCCATTTGTTAATTTATAAATAAAAATAGGAAGAATGGGTGGATCTTAATTCGTATAATAGACGTGTACATGTATGCCTGTCAAGATGGAATGGGTTTCCTAGCACATTACAATGTTTAGATGTTGCGATTCTATGTACAGATGTGTCCTTGTGATTTAAACACCTCAAGCAATTAATTAATTTATTTATTGAAATATTTTTATGATGTTTCAAATAGTAATTAACAATGTTAACAAAGATGTTTACAGATTTATTACAAATATCAACAAATATTAATGACCCCACCATTTGCCATTATGATGATCTGAGCTGACAAGTAGCTGTCGACCACATGCAAGAAGAATGCATACTACGTGAAACACGTAATAAAAAGCTATGTGTATTCATCTGGACGGGTTAGTAAGGTCAGTTGAGTTTACGCCAGGTAAACAACAATCGTTTTTAAATGGAAATGCCAATTTTGAAAATACTTTTAATTACCTAAATTGAGCTAACTGAGGTACAATTTTCTCCTTTCATATATAGGTAGTTCTTAATTTTTAAAAAAAACTGACCAGCAGAAAATTAAAAGTGAACTCCACTGTGCTCACGCTCTTTTATGCGTGCGTGTTTGGGGGGAGGGAGGGGGTCTGGACTAAAATGAATGGCAGTTGGATGTTAACTGATTTTAAGTTGTATATTTATTTTCACTTACTTGTATTCCTTGATGGTACATTAATCCAAGATTAAGTATACATGTATATACCAATTCAAAACTTTGATTATCCATTTTGGCCCTAACTTACCTTTAGGGGACATAGCTTGAGCAAACACTACCTTACATGTAGAACGCTTCAATATCAATATGTACCGTTCTTAAGAAAAAGATTTTTCCCTCTAGATTCCCATGTAAAACGGTGGCCCCACCTTGGTTGTCATAAATAAACTTGAATCTACATTATGTAATAAAGATTTCATATTAGTTTTAACATATAGTGTATCCAGCCCAATAATTTTTGAAAAGATTTTTAAAAGATGATACCGAAGTTTTACCGAGTCTAAATTATCTCCAATTGGAGGAAGGTCTGGCCCTTTATTTAAACAAACTTGAATCTCCTTCATCAAAGGATGCTTTTTGGCAAGTTTGTTCGAAATTCACCCTGTGGTTCTTGAGAAGAAGTTAAAAATGTGAAAAGTTTGCAGACGCCAGACAAATTGTGAGCAGAAAATCTCACTCGAGTTTTCAGCTCATGTAGGCTTTTAAAGGAGTATTGTGTGTTTCAGATAATAAATATGGATTGAAAGATAGAAATTGAAAAACTAATAATTATAATTATGTTTTTTTATTTTCTTGTTTGCCGAAACATGGGCATTTTTCACCTTTTGTTTGTCCGTTTGCCTTAATTCTTTTTCTCATTTTTCAAGAAATGATTTATCACTGCCTTATTTATCTCAACCATTTTCGTAGGATTTGAACATGCCTTAATACAGAATATATAATATTACTTACTTTAGGAAATGTGTTATTTTGGATCCAGGATAGATTTCTATGTAATCAAAGAATTTGTTCCATCCAAAGAAATTCACAAGGCGTTTCACCTCCTCCTTGTTGAAAGCTCTGAAAAAATAAACCAATTTTTTTTTTAATTAAACAATTTGTGTGATGGAAACGGAAATACTTAATCGTAATTCATTTAAATATCCTTTTTCGTATTTTCAGATCTTGAGTTTGTATTGGAAATCTTGTCTGTAGTTAAATGAAAATAGTTTCAATTTTTTGGGCAACCATAACGCTTTAATCTTGATTATACAAGGAAGTGTTCAAAAATGCCCATGAAAAAAAAATATTCACGCGATATGTACCAAAATGGTCATTTATTACAAATAATAATATTTCTATATCCCTACTTCTAGATAAATCCTGTTACTTCTACATTAAGCCTATAAAAACGTACGAGTTTTGGACAAATTATCTACCTGAGTAAGGATATAGTGATTATGAGGGATTAAAGAGGTTGGGTGGTTGTGGCCATTTTGATACTATTATGATCTCCTTTAGAAGAAGAGCTCCATATAAAGATATAACAAAATGATAAAATTTTAAAACTAAAATTTATGAATTTTTTCTTTGTCAAATGATAGTTGACAGCTTAAGATATCATATCCCAAAATTTAAGTTATATCTGGTGGTTAATAAACAAAAAATTTGTTGACCGCCTAGCCTCCTTAAGATTAGAAAAAAATTATTTAAGCTGTCATTTTTATATGAAACATGTTGAGTTTATCGATTATAAAGAGTTATTTGTGCTGTGTTTTTGGAATTCGGAACATCGAGTAAGTATCACCAAGTAAGTGTCGATAATGTATGTGATTAATTGATTTAATTTCAGGTGATGTATTAATCTTAACCTTTTTAATTTATTCCTTGACTTTGAAATCATTCATTACAATAAAGATTTCCTATTTAATTGAAAGTTTTAATTACAAATCCATTTCAAGTCTAAAAGCGCACCAGGTTTTGATAATTAAGAAAAAAGTGCATTTTCGTGAAAAATCACAAGATACATGTATTTCTGAATATGAGGGACTTACTCATTCTAATAAAGATTAAGCAGCAGCTTAGTATCATGAAGGGAAAAATTTATTTCATTTTTTTAAAAATATATAAATAAGTTATAACTATATCCTTGAAGGATGTCAGAAACTCGGTTATTTGGTTAAATGTCTATATGCTGCTGCAATGTGTATATGCTCAAATGCATGATTTAAGTATTTCCCTCTAACTGCAGAGAATAAAAGCGCATCTCTGTTTCACATCCAACTTCTTTCGCTCCCTGTTTATGAGTCATTTTCTGCAGAAACATATGCGAGTTCATCAATCACGGCAAAATCATCATTGATATTCATTGACAATGATTGCATACTTTTACTTTTCTTTTAAACATTCACAATTTGTTTAAATGCCACATCATAACATTTGCTATTTATTTAAAAGAACAAAATATACATTTGGCAATCCGAATGTTATATAATTCAAGTGTCATTTGTTTAAAATGAAGAGTGTACAAGTGTACTTTTAGATTTTTATGCCCTTCGTGACTATCAAGGGCATCTTTCAAAGTCTCTAAGCACAAGTAACGCATGTCTGAAAAAGCAACATCCATAACTTAACTGAGATGTAAACACTTCAACAGTTGTCCTATTGCCTCACTGATACAATATGCTCAAACAATCTTGTGTAATAAAACATAATGACTATGGAATAGCTGGTTCACAAATGAAGTTGTTATGCAATTTAGCGTATTTTTTGTGACTTGCTTGATTATTGTTAAGAGAGAAGATATTTTTCCCCAGAAGAACGCTGGTCATTTAACTTACTCTGATGCTACAGCGAGTTTGTAACCCTCATTATGAAGTCTGTGTAAAATTGGATCGATGTCTGGGAATGCTTTTACCTCTCGACTGCAGGCGTCAAATACTTTACCATCTCTGAAAAGACATGACACTTTACAAATGAACTATATCAAATATTGCAATTTCTCGAAATTTCCCTTAGAAAAACGAAGAGTTTATGCTCTTAAACATGTACAGGAATTGCTGAAAAATATGTTCTTCAGTTTAGTACAAGAACTGTGTAATTCTAAAGTCATTTTAAAGTAGGACAACATTTTTGGTTTTAGGGCATACAGGATTGTTAGGAACCCTTTAAGATAAAGTAACAAGATGTACAGCATTTTTTTAAACAAGAGGCCCATGGACCTTATAGGTCACCTGAGTATCATGTATCAACTTTCCAACTAATGAATTTGGTTTGTGATTTAAACTAGGTGCCATGAAATTCACGATTTTGAAATAGGCACGATTTTTCATTTTAAATATACACGTAGCATGTTTTAAGCTTGATTTCTTAATAACAGGAGGTAGAGTAGGGGAGCAAAGAAAAAATCCATTTTCATTAATCAGCAATACTAAACAATAATCAGTAGTGCCCTCACCCCATAGGAACCCCTGTCCTGGCTACACGTTTCAAAATTTGGAAAAGGCACTCTTGCTCATAGATTTCAAAGCATTAATTCATTTTCAGTATATAATCATTAGATCCCCCAACCCTCGGTACCCTTGACCTAGGGGTTTCGCTATTCATAATTCTGGAAGGGCCCTTGTTCATCATAAATAATATACTGAGATCATCACAATAATACCCAGGAGCAGAGAAGATTTTCAAAGAATTCATGCAGTTCCATTATACAATCATTAGACCTCTGCCATAACACCAGAACCCCTGACCCAGGGGCCATGAAATTCACAATTTTGGAAGAGTTAAACTTCTTCGTCATAACTACTGTAGACGTACTTTTACCGCAGGGTCATAATTCCGCGGAATCTCAATTTCTGTTTAATCCGCAGGTAGAAAATTAAGCGGATTTTCTAGATTGTCATTATATGCCTTACATTTATACTAAGTACGCTTGGACAAATTTCCGCGGAAAATTTGTGACCGCGTACATAGCGTAAATTGATACCATGCGGAAAAAAGTACTTCTACAGTATGTGCAAAGTTAATTTGTTTAATACCCAGGAGCAGAGGAGATGAATTTCAAATAATTTATGCATTTTCACTTAATCACCATTACATCCTCACCCTAAAACCAGAAAACCTGACCCAGGGGCAATGAAGTTCACTATTTTGAAAGAAGCATTCTTCCCTTTTTTAACTATGAAAATAGTTCATTGGTTTAATACCAAGGAGCAGAGAAGATTTTCAAACAATTCATGCATTTTCACTATATAATCATAGAGCCCTGCCTTAACACCAGAGCCTTAGGGGCCATGGATTTCACACTTTAGGTAGAGGGCTCAATGCATGTTACAATCAAGCCTATGCTTTGACTAATTGATGTCCAGGAGTAAAGTGGAGGTTTTTTTAATTAGATTTTTACCCCATCCAAAAGGCCGAGGGGGGGGGGGGGGAGACATGAATTTCACAGTTTTTGTTCTTCTTCACCCATAGTTGCTCTATTCCAAATTTGGTTGAAATTAATTCAGTGGTTCCAGAGATTGACGTTAAAATTTTTCGAAAAGTTTATGACCGATTAACAACGAACAAGGCATCGAACCTTGTTCTCTAGCTTTCCTTTCAATACTAGAAGAACAATACGCTTTTGAGATAAATTACATTCAAAACCCCCTCTTTGAAAATAATGTTTGCTGGAGAAGACAACCTATATCATGTTCTTCATTTGAACATCAAGGTTCTATTTGTAATTTACCTATGAAATTAAATTGAATATGAAGTCAAAAACATGATTAAATAGTAACATCATCGTCGAAAGTCCTGTCCAGTTATGGAATTCTCAAATCAGGTCATTAATGATCTGTTTGCACTGAAAAAACGAACCTTTCAGGCGTAATGTATTTTAGAAGCTCTGTAACTTTGCTATTTAGTTAATACGTTCATTTTGTTTTTCCGTTCATTTTAGTATAAAAATTATACAGATCAACCCGAGAGTGAGAGTTTTATAACACGCCTTACCTCGTTCTGTTAAAAGGTGGCTCGACATTCACTTTTCTATCCACCCAGAAAGGCCATAATGTGTAGTCTGAAACGATGATCAAACAATAGGAATACAATCATATTTATTAATTATTAAATATTTTACAGGGTATTGGATATAAATTGCAAAAAAATGATCTTCAGAATAATCTATTATCTTTCATGCATCTGCTTGAGGTTACAACCAAGAACAAAGGCATGTTTATTGTTTCTTGACATGATTCTTCTTAATTGTTTTGCTAACTTTGACTAACTATCCAAATAAAAACACTATCAAAAAATATGCATCGCAGTAGATGTGATAATTTCAAGATAAGTAAGCAGGACAAAAGAATTTGTAAAGTGTGTTGACCCGCTGTTAGAGTATTCCAGCATGCTGCAGTTCGCCCACACCTACAGTTGCCATCATCGTCTGCTAATCGTAGCCTTCTGGTAGTGATCATTTATACCAGTGGGTTGTAATGTATTAAGCTCATTTCGCCATACTCCTAATGATGGTTGTCTATAACTCAGTCTTCAATGTCCAGCGTAATATTTAGCACTAATTAACATTAAACTATGTTGCTTTCTAAGTTAAAAAAAAAATAGTCCTAATTGTATATATATTGTTAGTTTGCTTGACGAAAATTTTCCACTCGAATGCTTGCCGATGGAAAGCTGCAAATTTTAATCTATAATGGCAATTGTGCAGTAGGGGACCTTTTTCGTGCCAGCATATACTTTGACTTGGGACCTCGGAAAATGGTCTCATCCGTAGGACTATAACTATTTCGAAATATTGTGTGAATGATCAAGATCGAGATGCATCATAAAGACGTTTCATTGATTGAATCGGAATATACATACATGTAATACCTTTGAGACCTCAGCTTGTTTATTGAAAAAATCTCAAAACTTCAGAACACTTTAACAACTTTTACAAAGATTTTATATAATTTGGTTTAAGTGCAAATCGAACGTTTTTGATTTATATTTATGTGGTTTGAACTTCGATTGCCAAAAAGGTTAAACAAGCACTGTAGAGCCTTACCACAATTATTGATAATTCTATAACGCTAATATTTCAAAGTGATAAACAACTCGTTAAGCAGTTTCTCACAGGCCACCGGGAGATCATTGCATTGTTTACAGAACACTATGTGGTACTGCCGTTTATCAGTGGTATTTGAGAGAGCATATAACTTTGGTGGGAAGTACTTGATAAAAATAATTCTCTTACACATTTATGCCAGATTAAGTCAGTGGCGGATTTATAATTCTCACAATATTTGACAAATCGATGTTTTTTGGTGTGGCTGTGGGCCCCCATGCCTCAGATTTCTGGATCCGCCACTGTAAGTCATGTGAATTCGCGTGAAAATAACTTACGATACAACGATACTATATTTTCTAAATTGAAGTGAGCCAGAAAATATGATAGTATATTGGAAGGAAATAGGTACATATTTATGATGGGGAAACACCTCGTTTTATATGATGCATTGTAAACGGTTTGTGTCATAAAAATAAGATGGGCTCAATTTTCAAGACAACGAACAAATTACTAACATATGCTTATTTTGTCAAGGTACCAAACTATTCAACGTATGTCTTAGGGAATAAAAAAACAGAAGTCTCTGTCGAGACTGTAGCTCTACTGGTTTGTACTTATAACAAAGGATGAGAAAAGAAGCCATTGCCATTAGACCAAAACTGTAGAAGGTGTAGCGTTTTAAAGGAATTTCACAGAAAATTCTATTGTTAGTAACAATGGCAACACCGTTCATCGATGAAATCAAAGTCTGATGAATTCGCATGTTTTATTACTCATCTGCTACAGGTGTATGTCTATGTTGTTTTTGGAGACCAGGTTTTCCAACAATCTATTGGAATTCCCATGGGTACCAATTGCGCTCCGTTATTAGCAGACCTATTTTTGGAAGCAAAATTTGTGCAAAATCTTAGGCGTTAAAAGAAGAAAAACACTTGCTGTGGCCTTCAACTCGACAATTAGATATATCGATGACGTACTGTCAATTAACGATGGTAATTTCCATTCTTATGTCGCTACGATATATCCTGGTAAGCTTCAGATAAAAGATACCACATAGTTTAATAAACTTTTACACTAATTTTGTATATGTTTTATATATAATTAGTCTTGTTTGATTTTGATTGTACATATATTCATACAGAAGTTCGTAATGCTTGTAATATGTGTGAAATTTTCAATTAAAAAAAAAAGATACCACAGAGTCTGACATATCTGTTTCATATCTAGATATTTTACTTGAATGAAAGAAAAAGTGAGCAAGCTCACATACCCCACGCTCACCCAAAAGTCGAAGTGCTGAAATTCCCGGAAAAAATAAAGGAATCGGAATTTCCTGGTAATATGCACATCTACACATTGTGTCCTAAATATCTGCAAAGTTTGACGAAATTGTGTGCAGGAAATTGTTGTGCTGACAAACTGTTCATCTCTATATTCAAGATATAACCGAAAATCTAAGTGGAAAAATGCAGAAATTCGCAGAATATAAAGAAATCGAAATTTCCTGGTAATATGCACATCTACACATTGTGTCCTTAATATCTGCAAAGTTTGACGAAATTGTGTGCAGCAAATTGTTGTGCTGACAAACTGTTCATCTCTATATTCAAGATATGACCAAAAATCTAAGTTGGAAAGTGTGAAAATTCCCGGAAAAAATAAAGGAATCAGAAATTTCCTGGTAATATACACATCTACACATTGTGTCCTAAATATCTGCAAAGTTTGACGAAATTCTGTGCAGCGGTTTATGAGGAGTTGCGCTGACAAAAAAAAAAGAACTGACTGACTGACTGACTGATGGATGGGTCAAAAACATTATACCTCATGCAACTTGTTGCGTGGGGTATAAAAAGACTTAATGGTAATCTAACAACCAAGCTCTATGATAAACGTGATGACTTTTCTATCGTCAACTTCCCTTTCTTATGCAGCAGTATACCTTCATCACCTGCATACGGAGTTTACAAATCTCAGTTGATTAGATACGCAAGAGCATGCTCCACGTATGAACAATTTCTACAACGAGGTAAATTATTTGCAAACAAGTTGATGAAACAAGAATTTCAGCAAGCTCGTTTAAAGTCATCATTTCGTTAGTTCTATGGTCGATACTATGACCTTTTCAGCAAATACAATTCATCATTGAGTCAAATGCTGACTGACGTTTTTATACTAATTGTTAGTCCATTATTTATACACTGAATTGACGACCCCGTTATTTCCCGATCATGACAAGGAGCACACGACAGGTGTGACCGGTCGGCAGTGGATGCTCACTCCTCCATGGCACCTGATCCCACCTCTGATGTTTTAGAGGTCCGTGTTTGCTCTGCTCCTACTTTGTATTATTTTATAGACTTTTGATCTGGAATACTGTTCGATATCTTTATATGTTTCATAGTATAGACCAGTTAGCACTGTTTGCTAAATCGCTGCTGTGCATACTCTTGTACAGAAGTTTAATAGCAAAGTACTTTGTTTACATTGAAAATGTTATCATACAACTTTTAACATCAATTTTGAAGGAATCACATTTAGGCATTCCACGCAAATGAACAAAGACTGGTAACATGGATTTAAGTAATTCAATTACCGTCCATTTCCCATTTAGACACATTAACATCAAGACGAATCTTTGATGTTGTTTAAATCTGAAGACAAAATGCATTCTCAGAAACTTGTCTTTGAACTAAGCCATTGTTTAATAGATATCAAGGTTAAAGCTCTATATTTAACTTCGCGTATCTAGGACAATTATTTTGGATATCGGGGTGACCTAGAAGTCTAAATGTCCGTAGAAACCTAGATTTGAAAAAGCACATAACTCTTATGTTAATCGCGATAAACGGTAAGGAAACGTCTTAACAGGAAATGATAATTACACTTTATCTGATAACACGTTTCTATCAATAGTAATTTAACTAATTATGGATGGGTTTCATTTGACTCAGATATATTATGTTTTGATTTCTCCAATATTATCAATTTATCATATCGTATTTAGCCTCCACCTAGCGTGCCTCCAAAGATGCGGAATATGGGTCATTTAGTTTGAGTTTTAGAAATTATCAATAAAACTTAACAGACTGTAAAAAATTCTGAATGGATCGAAACTGTCACCATATGTTACACAGACTCGATGAGAATGTTTATTTAAAACAAAAATATTGATAAACAACAACAAACAAAACGTCATATACTGAAGATAACTTAATTTTCGCGACACCTTATTTTCGCGAGATTGTCATTCATTCTTTATTAGCGAGACAAAATTTTCGCGAAATGTGTCATTGCTCTATACAATCTTATGGAATTTTATTATACGTGAAATTTTCGCGAGCATTCCCTCTCGCGTAATAACGCGAAAATAAAGTTCTCGCGAATAAAAAGTGATTTACAGTATAACGGTTAAAGAATTGTACATGTAGGACATTCATACTCTTAAGACATCTTCGCTAGCCAAGGGTTTAGGTCCGAAGCGGTGCGGACCGAAAACCCTTGGCTAGCGAAGATGACAAGAAGACTCATGGCAAATTCAAAGAAATTCATATACGAGTTATTAACTATCAACTTTCTTAGTTTAATACTCATCAGAACATTGTTATCTTTATAAGTAAGAAAGAGGCTTGTAGTATGAATATAATAAGTAACAACTTCTACTTTGTCTCTTTATGCCTGTGAAAACGACATCAAATATACTTGTCTAAAACATCTTTTTCGTCGAGTATGTGCCTGCGACCTTTCTTTTTGATTTTGTTAAGTTAGAACTTGAAAAATATTTTTGGAGATGTATAACACAATTGCAAAAGGCCATATATACAAATGATAATGTCTTTACAGTCCCTTGAAATACGAAGGCGACCTACTGCTGTTTTCGTCCAATTCTTCCTGTACAATTTAACTTTCTGGCTTCTTCTTTGGAAGTACCAAACCTTACCAATTTCAGCATGTGGCAAAAACCATCTAAGGGTGAAAGGGAATACTATACCTCAGTATTAACAAGGTCCCCGCCCCACCCCTAATTTGAATCCCTTGCAGAACGTTGAAAGTGGTTCTTTCAATGACACCGTATAAGTCGAGGTCTAGGCCCCTATAGCTAGTTTCGCAGCAGGTAGTTGTCATAAAAAAAGATCTTTTACATGAACTACTAAATAGCCCACCGAGCCGAATATTAGTTTAAGTTTGCAATCTACCTACGACAAGTGGTGATGTCTCCATATGAGTGAAAATGTTTAAGAGGGAAGTTTAACAACAACCAAACGACACATTATAACCAAATGTAATGTTTTTAACGCAATGTCTTTCTCGAGATTGACAGAAGGTATTTCTCTTTGGATTGACAAGAAATCGGTAGGTAACTAATAACAGTTTACTACCAGTACCAAAATTCCAGACGATGTTGTCGAGGTTGTTGCAATGTTCCCTGCTCGGCTTTATCCTCTAAATGACCCGTCAAAAGCGCTTATGGGCTTCTGTTGGAGAAGTGAGGGTACGCCACGTGCTGAATTAGTTTTTCAAATTGGGCAATAAAGAAGGCATGTGTGTCTATGTTATCTATGGTTTTGTCATAAAAACTCTTATCTTTTATAGATTACATGGATAATTCTAATGGTATCGCAATGAGTGTCTGATTTAATTATGACCTTTCCGACAGTTCATGGCGAACAGGTGACCTTAGAATTTTGTTTTCTTAGTTTCGAACTAAAAACAATCTTCCTTGGCGCCATTTTTTTTTTTAATATTTCAAATGTAAATATTAAAAATAACTTTGATTTTTTTTAATGCCGGTAGCAAATAGACAATTTTTTTCACCGGTTGATTATGGTTCGAGAAGAGTTTGGGGACATTCCAACTGATCGCTTCTCAATACATCTCGTTTAAGTGTTTTCGTGAACATTGCTGAATCTTCCGTCTCATATTTGCCGTTCATGGCCAAAGGTAATTTGTTTGTCAGCAAACACATTAAACGATCATCATTGTAATAGACAAGAAACAGTTATTCTGCCTTCAGAAAAGAATCCAAAATACTTTTGGAATGAAGATGGCTATTCCAGAACCTTTGATTTTTCAATACCTTTAAGAGTTTTCCGATGCAAGAATAGCAGCAAGATTTTTGATCGATGAAATAGTTGTTCATTTTAACCTTTCTTCCATATTCTTCATGTTGGTATTGCTTTTGCTTGCCGACGGATTAAAAAGTTCAGGGGAAAAATTTTGTTGCTTGCCTATAATTATATACAAAGAATAATTTACATATATGGCCAAGAGGAATGATCGATTAAAAAAAAAAACAATTGAGGCAATGACCACGACTAGAAATCAATTGAGTTAAAAACACTTTGGTATCCATTTATCATTTAAAGAAGTATATTAATATTCATCTTTATTATATGTATATCTGTTTATTAGTATTTATTTCACATATTTTCAATGATGACAAATATACAGAGGAACACTTTAATGGTGATAAATATTTTGCCCATTTTATGAATGGGGAAGTAATTAACTGCTACGTACCATGTTCTTAATTCCTTTTAATAAATGTGCAACTCAAATTTAGTTTCACAACCTATTTTGAGTAAATAAACAATCCTTAGATTAGCATAAGAGTGCAGCAGGCATTTTTAGCTCTACTGGTCAGAGACCAGAAGAGCTTATGCGATAGTAATGCGTCCGGCGTCCGTCTGTCTGTAAACAATTTTTCAAAACGCTACTCCTCCTACAATTTTAGTCTGATTTCAATATTACTTGGCACACAAGTAGACTACACTTAGATACATAGAATAGTGCATCGGTTTTTAATTTCGATGAACGGTGTTGCCATGGTTACTAAAAATAGAATTGTCTGTGAAATTCCTTAAAAACGCTACTCCTTCTACAGTTTTGGTCTGATTTCAATATAACTTGGTACACAAGTAGACTACACTAAGATACATAGAATAGTGCACGTTTTTTAATTTCATGAACGGTGTTGCCATGGTTTAAAAATAGAATTTTCTATGAAATTCCTTTATTCCTCCTACAGTTTTGGTCTGATTTCAATATAACTTGGCACACAAGTAGACTACACTAAGATACATAGAATAATGCATCGGTTTTTAATAAAAAATAGAATTTAAATTCCTTTAAAACGATTTTTGGTCTGATTTCAATATAACTTGGCACACAAGTTTACTACACTAAGATACATAGAATAGTGCATCGGTTTTTGATTTCGATGAAGGATGTTGCCATGATTACTGAAAATAGAATTTTCTGTGAAATTCCTTTAAAACGCTACTCCTTCTACAGTTTTGGTCTGATTTCAATATAACTTGGCACACAAGTAGACTACACTAAGATACATAGAATAGTGCATCGGTTTTGATTTCAATAAAAATAGAATTTTCTGTGAAATTCCTTTAACACTACTCCTTCTACAGTTTTGGTCTGATTTCAATATAACTTGGCACACAAGTAGACTACACTAAGATACATAGAATAGTGCATCGGTTTTGATTTCGGTGAACGGTGTTACCATGGTTACTAAAAATAGAATTTTCTGTGAAATTCCTTTAAAATACTACTCATTCTATAGTTTTGGTCTGATTTCAATATAACTTGGCACACAAGTAGACTAAAAAAAATTTTATTCAATATGTGCTCAATAAAATAGTTGATTTCATTTCTAGACACATTTTATTTAAAAAAAAAAAAGAAGATATTTCAAATGGCCATTTTTTTTTTAATTCATTATCGCGTTACTCGATACTAAAATATTTAGATATTATATTTATCTCATTTAACTATATTTTGTAAAGATACTTAATCTTTTTTGGAACAAGGAATTTAAGATGTTTACCAACACGTGCAATAAAGTATCTTGATGTTTCCCATGTGCAAAATTTCTTATGCGTCTTAAAGTTATTACCAGTTATCAAATAATTTATAGTTAAAACTAGTTACAGAGCTGCATGTTCGTAATTGAAACATGTAAAGGATATAGAGAATCACAGGGAGCATTCTGCAGAAGGTGAGGGATCTATCACCAATCCTGCACGGTCAAATCGTTAGATCTGAATCGTTTATGATAAGTAGGTAAAGCCCCTCTTTTCCTTATTCTTTAATCATCAAAAATAATCAGTTTCCCCTTTATCATTAGCAACCGAAACAGAATGAGGCCCAGCTGTTGTTAATTCGTGCTTGGATGAGGACGTATTCGCGGCTATAGTCTCCTAAATTATGTAATACTTTGCAGTAAAAAAAAAATATTTTATCAAATCAAGCCTACATTTCTATACTCTGTTCATTTTGAATTTTTTTTTTTACAAAAATGTTGCTTCTGGTGAATCTAATCCTAGCCGATAATTTGCGATGATGCGACATACCGGAATGTAATGACCGTTACGACTCTGAAGGATAAGCACGCTAGTCTCTATAAATTGTATGCCAGAAAATATCAATTTAGGTCACAAAATCAATTTCTGTACATTGGCGTCGGAAGCAAATTGAAAGTGGGGGGGGCTAAGTGTAATAAAAAAAAAAATTTTTGTACCTCCAAAAAAACCTGACAAGCAAAAAAAAAAAAAAAAAAAAAAGGGGGAAATGTCTATTTCCCAAATACGAAAATCCTATTTCGTAGGGGGGGGGGGGGGGGGGGTCACTCAAGCAATAATTTTCTTCCAAACACCACCACTTTCCCCTTTTTTAACCTATACTAAGACGTATCAGTGGAAAGTGGGGGGGCTAAACTTACGAAGAAATGTTCAATGTCTATACTAAGTACATATTTGAAAAAAAAAGTGGGGGGGCAACCCCCCCCCCCCCCCCCCCCCCCCCCCCCCGGTTCCGACGGCTATGCTGTATCTCTGACAAGCTGAAATCAACGATGTACAGAAATTAAGAACTTACAATATTTTCCATTATAACATACATTATACAAGTCTAACGCGCACTTTGAAAATTTGAATTTTAAGATCAAATTTAAAAAAATTACCTCGACAATACAAGTACCAATCTAATTAAAATTAGCTCGCTAGCGATCTAGTTGGAGGGGCTCAAAGATCTAATTTTAATTAAAAGTGTACTACTTAGTGGTTGTATTTCTCCCCAGAACTTCGCACTCTCCAAATAAGTAAGGAACCGGTGTTCTTTACATTCCAACGAGATTTTTCACTCGTGTAGAACGCCAGTGGCCGGAGGAAGCGAGCATAAGCACCAATACTTGACACTTATAACCAATGAGGAATGAAGAATCTTGTTTTATGCCAACATCTACTGCAATAGGAGTTGTCTTATCTTTTTGTACAGTGAAATATGTGGAGATTGTGCATTTCGAACCAATGTGCTATATCAAGATCAACACTCTAAGACGAAACTCTCCAACCACTGCACCACGTGTGAACTGATAACATAATATATATGTATAGCAAATATAAAATTTATGTTATGAAAACGAATGTCAGGTATAGATTTTATTTATGGCAAAACTATGTCTTACTCTACGATAGAGAGACAGACAGCAAGGGTGTATGCAAACATGTAGGCTAAGACAAGGACAAAGCAATTCACTGTCAATCTTAGTTCACCTATATTCCTAGACAGAGTTGTATACAAGAAGATACTAAATGCCATTGTTCATAAACTTTATACAAGGGAAACAAGAATCATAGCATACCAATATCAAGAGGTACAACAAAGTTTAACGATAAAAAAAATTCATCTTTAATATGATTAATTGCGAAAAATAAATAACTTACCAAGATCAAAGACAATCAACTTCGGTTTACGGACATTGTTGTTTTCTTGGTCCATGTCGAAATTCTGTTTAGATTATTAAGTCTGTACAGTCATATAATTTTACTGCCTATGTTCCAAAACACTATCTGCAAAAACAGACCATAATACAGCAAAGGTTAATTATTGATGGTCCTCCGAATTTTTATTTCCCTTCATATCCAACATTAAACTTTAACACTCAGGTCCGTTGATGACGAGAATACGAATTTTCTGCATGACAATATCTGTTTCCCCCACTGCAGTGACTGGAGTTTGAGATGGCGCGAAAATGAATATATCATTGAGGAATTGATTGAACACGTGATCACTAGAAGCGTTATGTCCAAAACAAACTTCCTCGCCGGATTTGTGAATGAAAGGAAAGAAAGTAATTATAAAAGCAAGAATAAGAATAAACATGAGCTCTGTTTTTAGTAGCATAGCCACAAGTAGTACTGTGGTCTTTCTGTTCAGAAACATTAACTTATAATGTTAAGTCGAATTTATGAGTAAACTAGTGGCTTTTTGTTTTCTTTATAAGAATTGAATATGTTCATTTTTCGTGATCCCGTAATTTAAATTTCAAATTGATGAATATTACTTGAATCTTTTAGTAAATCGTTCATCTGGAAAAGCGAATCTTACTTTTTTTTCGGTCATTCTGTAAAGGCAAAGCCGACAACGACCTCTTATTCCTGTGCTTAAATTAATTTTTCAAGGTCATTAACTGGTCCTGCAATCTCTGCCCATGTTGAACTTACTGTAAACAAGTCTACCGATAAGAATTTATATATCTTGCTGATTGTAAAATTGCTTTTATTTCTTCAAACGACTACTGCTTTGAATATTCTTTTTTCGTCTTTCAACAGTTTTAAAGATTAAAGGTTTGCTATGGTTCCTTAACAGTTTTGCATTGTTAAAGGAAAGATTTTCAACAAACCATACTTCAAGTTTTAAGACTGTTTTCTGTATAAACGAAAGTGAGAGAAAAAGATGAAGAGAAAAAGCAGTTTTCGTTGAATGAAAAAAATTGAATCACACTGATTTTCATCTGAAACACACCAGTGTTATATCAATATGCTTACTTTTAGCATTTCAAAATTAATATGAATATTAATTTTGTTTTTCGTCCGTTTTGGCACAGTAGTTAGAGCCTATCGTTTAGAATTGATCCTTCACGTCACGGGTTCGAATTCCACTGTGACACGCGTCCTTCTAATGAGACCATTTACATTTGTAAACCGAGGACCCGTGTTGCAGTAGCTGCTGGCATGAAGGGATCCCTAATTGCTCAATGGCTGCAAGTGCTGGGTATAGGACAAAATTTGCACCCCATATGAGTAAGAATTTCTATAGAGGTACGTTAATTAAAAACAAACGTATCACATTAAACGAAATAAATCTTGAAATTATCCTTGAATTAATATAACTCTTTCTTTTCAAGTATAATACTATAAAATAAAACTTTAAATTTAAGGACAATTGTATAAATAATGGACCTTTAAAAGAATAAGAACAAATTGCTGAACGGTAAAAAAGATTTTTTTACAATTTATGTGGAAAATTTCTCTGGAAAATCTCCTCAAGAAAACAAATTAAGTTCAAAACTATTAAGAACGGTGCCTCTTTCTAAATTTTGAATGCCATGGCCTTTGGGTAAAGAAACGTTGCACTGTACTGACAACACCCACTAAAAATCCATTATTTTATTGAAAATTTCCTCAGCAATAAGTATTATGCAAATGAACCAAGTGTAAAGTTGTGATGAACAATGATTCCTCTTCTGAATTTCATGGCCTCTATGTAAACATTTCTACTAATTGTTGTTGTTGTTTTTTTTTTTTTTTTTTTTTTTTTGGCATTTCACTATTTTTATCTTAAAAATGACATTCATGGGTCGGGTGTGTTGGTGGAAGAATAGGGCTATATATTGATTGAATAGTGAAATTCCATTAATGATTTGAAAGTCTCAGCGCCACAGGTACTGTACCTCTTCCAGAATTCGAATTTCATGGTCTTTAGGTCAGAGTGTACATGTAAGGACATGCAGTTTTTGTTAACTTTGTACTAAAAATGTATATTTTCAATGAAAATCTTCCGTTATGTATACCGAAATATTAAGCAAAAATACAAAATGCATTGTTACGAAGAAGGTGTTAATTACAAAATTGAACTCAGTGGTCCCTGGGTCGTGGATAAGGATTTTGCAATCTTTAACATACAGTGCAATTCTTTTTTGAAAATGTTTTACTTTAGTGCATACATGAAAAAGATACGCTACAACTGCAATTCCAAACAGACGTGTGTACTGTACTGTACTTCCAAAATTGTAAGTTTCACTCGCCGTGGATACTGGTTGTGTTGTTAGGGACGGGCTGTTTTGAATTTATATTGAAAATGCAGTATTTATTTGGAAATCGTCATCTCATTTCCGTGCATGAGTACAGTGTATACATGAAGGAAACAGAGTACAAAGTTGTAAAAAGCAAAAAACATTTTTACTACGTATAGAGACATTGAAACAAGGGGGCCATGGACCACATCGATCACCTGAAGACTTTGACTAGTTCAACATTGGATTTAAATATTCAGGTGGTTTCTGGTTCGGGGAGGGGGAGTTTTGAACAACAAAAACTTTTGATCTAATAAGACAAATAGGTAATGCCTTTGCTGTTAAGATTTTTTAATATCATTTATATTTCTTTGTATAACTTACTTGTATGATCTCCCGTTTTGGCAAGCTATTGACAAATAAATTGATACATGTATAAAATATCAAATGTCATTTAAATTGACGCAAATTTTGCAAATTTTATGGTCAATATAATGGCTTTGTTAGGAAATACAATCTTTCATTACGTAGATGCCGACTGACGTTTTTCAGACAAATAGTTAGGTCATTAATGATTATGCAAACACCGATTTGTCCACAGATTTTGCCGGTTGCCTAATCATGACAAGAATCTCGCGACGGATGTAACCTGTCGAAAAAGGATGCTTGTTCCTCACTGTTATTTGATCCCACTCTCTTTTTTTTTAGTTTATTCAAATTTTTAACCCCCTCCTAAGATTCAAGTTTTTAAAAATTATATTCTTCCGGATCCCATTTTGTCTGGCTTTATGATTTGGTTGTTGAAATAATTCCGTTATGTTGTTCGTAATTCCTAGTAGCCAAACTTTACATCCGTAATGATTATAGTAGTAATCTTACCTAGTAGAGGTAATTTTTTGATTAACTCTTAATATAGAACTTTCATGATATTGAAACTAGTTTGATCTACAAATTTTTTTTTGTTGAAAGGCAAAAAAAAAAGCAAAGAACCAAACGTAAAGAATATTCACACAAGTATATTTATGACCCTGGCAAAGAATTCGAATGATATAAATACAGTATGTTCAAAACATGTTATTTCTGAGGACTCATGAATATTAGACACTCTTGCATATATGACCTCTACGCCACGAAACCAGTAGACATTCCAATTCCCTCTCGTGATTTACTTTCACGATTTCCCTTCTGTTATTGATGCTCATATTCTGACAAGAGAGACCATCTGCTTTCAGGAGTCGGGAGAAGTCATTATTTTAGTAAGAATGTGGCGTAACAACTCTATATATAAAAGGATGTCTCCTTGACTTCATTCCGAAATTTGTTTTATTAAGACTTTTTTTCTTGTTTTCTCTGAAAACAGGGAAAAATTGTGAATGGGCATGTGTTGCATGTATAAGTCTAATTATTTCATAGAGTCCTATCCTCTGTGATTGCTTTGATTAATGGTTCCGAAGTTGCGCTCGTGTTTTTTTTACAAATTTATTTCAGAAAGGTAAAGTACGAGAGTTATTATGCACTGCTCACATCCTCAACAATGTACCCCTTGACTGCATGGTGCCATTAATGTAGCAAACAAAACCTTGTTTTGGTACAAAAAGGGTGGGAAATTATGAGAGGGAAGTGAGGTATACATCTGAGAGGAAGTGTTACGTTTGTAATTACGTGATTTTCTTCGACAAAAAGAAATTGGTATGATTCCGTGTTTAAAAACTCTCTTTGATAAACACAATGAATTATCAACATTTAAAGAAGTACAAACAATTTATCATTTTGTATTTACAAAGGTAGACATTTATGAGAATTGAAGGGGGATCGGTATACTTCAACTTCGTGTCGTACTTCTTCTGTTCGAAAACCACAATGTCTGTTTCTTAATGGTGGTCTCCACTTCGTTCCTGGAACAGGCGGGAACACACGTCTGTTTGGAATTGCAGTTGTAGCGTACTTTCTGTTAAACACAATGTTTTCTTACATCCTAATGCAAATTCTGTGTTAAACAACTAAATATTGCAAAATCGCTATCTTCTCTGCGACATCTTGCGAAAAAAAATGTTAGAAAGGGGCTATGCATTGATAGAGAGGGACTACTATGAATTGCTATAAATAGAAAATATACGAGTGTTGTTCGAAAAGTGCGTGGACAACTGTTGTATCTTTTTTATTTGACGTCATATATTATCCAAATTTGGTAAAAATATTTTAAAAATAAATCCAAATGATTTGTATTACATTTTCCCCCCAATATATTAAGATTTATTCAAAACTTGTCCAGATTTTAAAAATTCAAAAATCGGATCGCGGGGCAGGTCAAAATTTAGAAAGTTACAGACAATACACTAAATAATGTCTGTAGTCATATTCTTTGTAAAATGGATTAAAAACGAAAAATAACCTAAAAATTCAAATTAAGAATTGTTACATCGATTCGTTTACCAAATTATGGATATATATTTTGCTTTGTTGAAAAGAAATCAACTTGAGAAGATAGGTACTCTTCATTGAAAACGACAAAAACGGTGACGTTTTAGAACGTCTCGGAGCAGCAAATAAAGATGCAATTTGTGTTTTACTCAGGAAAAACACTGAATAAACTTTAAAGATGTTGGAGTAATTAAGAAAATATGTCACAAGCGAGTTATGCATGTTTGTATAAATAGTACAGGCAGTATTTGAGTGACAGAGACTCTATATATCAAATGAGGACAATCTGTGAAAAAACCCTTTAACTGTAAAAATCTCACCGAAAATTTTTAAAAGTTGGAACGTCAAGGAAAGACAAAGCGCTTCAGAGTTGCTTATCCTGTGAAGAAATTAAAACCTGAACAAAGGAAATTATACATACTCCGAGGAAACCTACATGTATAGTCCCCTCTGGTTTCACCGGTTGGGGACTAACAAATACTCTTAAAAATTTCGTTTAATCGCATGTGAGCAATACCAGGAAAGTTGACATAGCGTTCATCAATTTAATAAATTAATTATATCTTTAGG